TGAAACTCTCAGACTGAAGAAGTCTCTTGGAGGAGAGACGAAACGTTTCATTAGAGAAGAACCCGTCCAGAAGACCTATACAATTTTTTTTCTTTCCGTCCACAGATTTCTTCAAAAGACCACGAGATCGATCACAGATTCACTGATTCTACAATAGAGGATGATATGGACCAATTGTTTCAGGGAATTTTAGGACCCAGCTGTCTGCACAGGCAGAGGGTGCCATCCCCACAAAAGGGTAACGCGTCGCTCATGAAGGTAACTGTCAGGAGAAGCCAACAGGTCGGACCTGTCCTGAAACACTCCTTTCTGAAAGCACTTCTCAATATAAGTGCTTCATCATCAACTGTCATTCAAAAATGGGCGAATCATTCTAAAGGACGACATGTGTTTGGAGCAACTGATACGGTTTGACTTCATTAACAACATCTTTTCTTCTTTATCAGCCAATTCTCAAATCCCCTCAACATGTGAGTCTATTAAAGGCCTTTCTGTTAGAACATCAGCAGCATTCAGAAACACAATCAAACAATAACAATCCCTACATGGAGAATCATAAAACTGATAATGATAACCATCATGTTAAAACATTAATAGTACCTGACTATGCAATCTGTAGGAGGTGAGCTTAAAGTGAATTAAGCTTTTCCCACATCTCTCATACACAAGGTTATGAGGAAACTTTTACCAAGGTATTCCTCAATACTTGTTAATTTCTTGACTGTGGGAATTGAAAAGTGACACAATAAGTAAACGTTCAGACGAGTGAAAGTTGATTCATAAAAGACTGCAATGATTTATTTACACAAACTGAACAGATCATAAGTTACACTTGATTGTGGTTATTCCTATAACAAGCTTCAGAGTTAAATGAGATAAAACCCGCATCCGAATTTCAATTCACATCAACTCAGATTACTTATAATAATAATATAATATAACAGTGAAACGTCAAAATGAGTCCGTGGTATTTTATTGCAGGCTGATAAAACAGAGATAAACATGTTGGTTTCTGATGGGTGTGACCCGACTGAACAGATAAAACACCAGGCTTAACTAAACCTGGCTCTTAGCCTGGTCTGGAGCAGGCTAGCTGCACAAAATAAATCATCATCATGGTAACTTATGTACTACTTTTGTGAAACCAAATCAAGGCTTAATTCAGCCAGGATATCTGAAAAATCCCAGCTTAATCCACTATCCTGGTTTTGTGAAACAGCCCCATGATGGTACAGACGTGTTTACTAAAGATCTTTAGATTTCTGTTAATTTTAGGTCAAGTTTTATTTATTTATTTATTTTTATTTTTTCTGGATTTGTGTTTTCAAGACTGGATAAATCTGGGTTCGGATGAACCAGTGGACAGAAGAAATACAACCAGAAATCTGCAACTGTTCAGCAATATGAGGAAAAAGATAATAAATTATTTAATTCTTGACTTTGAATCAAATTATTGTGGGATTGCAGGAGGAGATGTCACACAAGCATTAAAGGGTTCTTTGGATTTTTGGAAATAGGGTTCTGTAGAAACTGTATGAACAATGAATATCTTACATGCTGTGGATAGATCCTCATGAACCAGAAAGGAAAAAGCAGGTTGATGGATGGATGGATGGATGGATGGATGGATGGATGGATGGATGGATGGATGGATGGATGGATGGATGGATGG